TCTGGGCTTTTCCGGGGTGGGGGGAAACCCCCTCCGACCCAACCCTTACAAGGCGGAGTGGTTTTGGGTCTTTCCCCCCCCCCCCGCCCCCGGGTCAGGAGAATTGACATCTTTGACTCTGGGTGAGGTAACACTTCCCCAGGCAGATCTGGTGCACAATTTGGGGGTCCTGGACTCACGGCTCCTGCTGGAGGAGCAGGTGGCAGTCATGGCCAAGAGGGGATTTGCACACATTCAGCATTTCTGGACCAGAAGGCCTTGTTCAGAGTCATACATACCTTAGTCATCTCCTATTTGGATTACTGCAATGCACTGTACATGGGGCTGCCCTTGAAGACTATCTGGAAGCTGCAATTGTTCCAGAATGCAGCAGCACATGGAATTTTGGGTGCCCCGCAGTTCACCTGAGTTACACCACTGTTTACATGAGCTGCACTGGCCCCCAGTTGCCTTCCGGATGCAATTCAAGGTGCTGGTTATCACCTTTAAACCCTACGTGGCACAAGGCCAGGTTAGTTGTGGAATCACCTCTCCTTGAGCGTATCTGCTTGCCCTACTAGGCTAGATAGGATGGGCACACTGCAGGTCCCCTCCCTTAAATGTTGTCACTGATGGGACTGTGGTGGCATGCCTTCTTGGTGGCCGCCACAGCCCTGAGATCTGAGGGATCCTTACCCTTTTAGTCTTCCAGAGGGCTATGAAGACCTGGCTCTTCCCCCAAGCATTGGGCTAAGATGGGGGTTGAGCTGGGAGGTTGTTTGGTCTGGTGGCTGGGCGGAAGGGTATTTCTCTTTTTATTGTTGTTTTTATGGATTGTTGTGAGCTGTCTAGAATCATTATAGGAGATAGGCAGCCATATAAGTTATGTAAGTAAATAAATACATTTTGGTTGGTTCCTTAAAAATGCTACAGAAAGAATCTAATTAGTTTTTTTTTACCTCTGAGGCCTTTTATTTGCATTACCTTAGGCTCAAGCAGTTAGTAGCCTTTCCCTGAAATGTGTGCATCAGAAAACAAATAGCTTCAAACTTGGAAGCCACAGGGCAGAGAAAACACTTTTTTGAATATTATAGTTACTTTGTACATTCTGGCCAAAGAAAAGATAAGAATTATGTTTTAAAGTCATATTTGGGTTTTGAGTATTAATTAAGATGAAAAGTCCTGTGATCATGGCAGTTAAGAGGATGGTATATATTAAGCGTTATAACTGTCATTTCCTTTCAAAGGGACAAAACTAAATATCTTTGGTTGGTATCATTTCAAAAGTGTTGTTTCTGAGGTTCAACCCAGTGCTCATCAGTCCAATTAATTAAATAAATAAATATATGCTTTCAGATCTCTTCTGGACATATGATAAAAAGCCATTTTTATTTACACTGATTTCAAATTGTTTTATTGGAATTGGACAGAAGGCAGTCTATGTTTACTGTTGGTTTTGTTTATTTGTTTCCTTATTTAGTTTGTAATATTTATAGGCCAATTTTCAATGGCTGAAAATGGGAAATGACAATATTTTGATAATGGAATAAACTGTTTCAAACAATAAAAAATAAACCAGTATAGAGAATTGGCAGAAATCACTGCATAAGTGATGGTGTAAAGCTTCACGAGGATGTTCTTCACCACAGGCTTGTTCTGTGTTAAATTCAGTTAAATACAGAAATCAAACTGGAGATCTGATATTCTTTTTATTTCTTCTCTGGGTGAATAGAAAACCCCTTCCCCTATGAAAAAAAACAAAAAAATTAATATATTTTCTATGAAAAAAAGATACTAAAAATTAAAATGTAAAAATATTATCTACTTTTTTTAGTGTCTCTCTAGGTACTCAAAAGTTGGCAATTAGTACCTAGGTAATTTACTTTATAGTAGATAATGTTGAGAAATTGAACTTGCTTTCCATCCTCAGTGGATAAGAAGGATATGACTGATTCTTTCTCATTCTGAAATTATTTACAGGCTGTTCCCCAACTAGAGCTGTTTGGGGATATGTCCACTCCTCCTGATATAACCTCTCCCCCTGTAAGTATTGCTGTTAAAAGTCTGGATTGTTTCTTGCATGCTAATGTCAACATCTTTATAATATCAATGTATAATGCATTTTGATATTTATGAGAAACTATGACCCACCACTGAAGACAAAATTCGACAGATTTTCAAAAAGGGTTACAGTCATATTACTCACTTTGAATTTCTTCCTCTATAACGTTGCTAATTATCTTACTTTTAAAACCCTAATTGCTTATGCTGATGCTGATCCCCTGTGAGGTTACTAAAATTATACAGCCTTAGACTTCTATGAAAAAACAGGTGCTGAAAGAATTTGCATATATTTTAGAAGTTGCAAAAAAGCACTTTCAATTTTGCCAAATATCTACAAATTATATGAGAATTTGGTGATACCATTGCTCATCCTCTTGATAATTATAGGTGGTCTTTCTTTGTTACTCACTCACATTTATCCCTTCTCTCATATTACTCCCGCCCTTCAGCCACTATTGGCTTTTCTCTTTCATGCACTAACTCTTTTAATTAGGGAAAGGATGTGGAGCTAGTTCTTGGCAGTGAAAGCAGCAAATGAAATGTGACCAGTGAAAGCTTATTAAGGCATTTTAATTTTTCCTTATTTTACAGACCCCTGCGACTCCAGGTGATGCCTTTATCCCATCTTCATCCCAGTCACTTCCTGCTGGTACAGAGGTATTTAGTTCTGTACCTTACAGCACTGCTGCTGTACCCTCAGGTGAGTCATTTACATCAAGCTATTTCACTGAAAACTTGAAGTTCAATCTGGGACCAAGGGATGTTATTGTGTTACACATCAGAACATTCAAAGCTCTAGATAACAGACCTTGTATGATTTGCAATTGTAGTAATTAGGTACGGATTCATACCTGCTTGCTCACATATCATATGAGCCATTGAAGACCTAACATCACAGACAAAATGTTCACCTCATCTCAGCCAATTTATTTTTCAATTACTTTTATTTTGCAAATTTTGGGGAGACCTTGAGAATTTGATTTCATAATCAAAGTAATAAATCAAATTACTCCTAATCATTAGAAGACTGTTTGATCCTTAAGATCTTTTTTTTCTTTTGATTTATCTGGAATGTCAGTAGCAATAAAAGATGAAAACCATAGTTTAGTATTCTTCAGAGTCCAAAATACAAATTTTGTTAATATTGTGCCTTACTTTTGAAGCTCAAAAAAGTTTACAAATATTACGTTTGCTTGGTCCTGCTATTTTTGAATTCTTAAACAGTTGCCACTGACCTAATCCTAGGTAAAGGTATCGTTTCACATTTATGCATAAGGTATGTATGTCTTAAGCTGTACATAGCCCATAACCAAAAAGCAAAATTCTGAAACACTCCTATGAAAAAACATTTGAATTATTGGGATTTTAACAATTAATAATTATAAAATAGTCAAAAGCTGGATTTTTAAAACAGAGACTGAGTATTATGACATAAGTACTTGGACTATAATCCAGGATGCTTGGCTGTAGTCCCTCTTAATCTGGAGGATTTTTAATCAATTGCTGTTTTTCAACTAGACGTACTTTACAGGGTTGCTTGGAGGTAAAAAGTGGGGGCTGTTTATCTGAAAATAAAACAACCCTGACAATCCCCGCCAAATGAAGATTGGGAAAAAAAAAAAGGTTATAAGCATATAGAAATTATGTGCTGCAACAGTCTAAAACACACCTTCAAGTCAGCTATTCAGTTCTTACAGAAAATAAAGATAAAAGGTTTTGGAATGGCCTTCACAATCCCCAAACTTGAATTTACTGAAAATATAGGTGTAGCTCATTCAAGAAGACCTATGAATATCTCTGAGGGAGAAGAGTTTGGCAAGGAAGAACATTCCAAACACAAGAATAGAAAGACTCTTATTTGGCTACCGAAAAATTTGGAAAACCTTATTTCTCTCAAAGCAGGTGTTACAAAGTATTGACTGAAAAGGTGTCCAAACTTCAACACCTGCCATATTCACTCTTATTTTAATCTGTAAACAGCTCTACATATATAGTAAATATATATTCAGATTTGCAGCAGAATGTCTTGTTTACCTTGTTAGATGACCCTGACTTTATATTAATGTTAGTTACTGATTCCCTTTATATTTCTGTTCTTCATACAGAATAGAAGCAGATCATCATCATCATCATCAAAGAATAACTTGGTTGTTATTCATCAAAGAATAACTTGGTGCAAAGAATGAACAAAAATAATCACATACAGTATTTGACTGGTATTCTTTGGATATTTGAGTTCCAGCCAGGAACCTGGGAATTATCCAAGTAATGTCTTAAGATATAACATGTACCCAGGAAGGTGGGTTTTTTCATAAATCAGCAGTTGATATAGATGATGATGGTGGTAATGATGATGATGATGATGATGATTCAAACATTTGGAAGTATTATAATCATTGCAGTCGGGTCTCCCACAATCATGAACAGAGAAATCTGGTTAGTTTTAAATTGACAACATGTTCACTAACTGCAGTTATAAATGCTCACAAGGGTGATACTGTGGCCTCTCAGTCCTATTCTACCAGGGCAATCTGAGATAGCCAATTGTTTCTTCTTATGGCTTAAGCTTTGAACAAATTCCCATGGCTTTGTGACCCAGAGTAATATCAATTTTAGCTAATTTTATCCCATAACAAACAATATTAAGGCTCAGAGATCCTTGAAATATAGCACTAACTGTCTCTTCTAGCTTCACAGGTGCAGCAGTTGGGTCTGTGGAAGTCCTCTTACCTTCAACAAGTGGCTTGACTCACTAAATTGTTACTGTCTCTTTTTTTCCCTGTAAATAACACTGCACCTACATTTGTTCTACTCACATTGTTAATATTTACCTTAACCTCTTCTCTGCCCATTATAGGATAAAAACAAAAATGCCTTGGGCCCTGAGCACCTATAGATCTTTCAGAAGAAATATTCTATATTGCAACAAACTGTTGATATTTTCATTCTGTACTCATGAGCTCATGGGTGTCAAAATAAACATGACTGAGACACTTTGTTGCATCTTGCTTGCAGTGAGAGGTCAAATGAAAAGTCCCATCCATTCCCCAGCAAGTTGGTGGGTGAGGAATGCAGTTTCATATTGTATGGAGACTGGCATATGTGCACTCATACACACTTTGGAAAATTATGATTCTGTCATATCATTATCACTCTCTGTCTGAAAAACATTGTCTGCGTGCAACTTGTATGAATATATGTCTAGATGTATAGTTGTCATTTTTCCAAACAGGAATATGGACCTAGTTTCTGGCATAAAACAAGACCAACTGCATAAGTATTTTCAGATGGTCTTTTCAGCGTCAAAATTACTCTTTGGGTGGTAAAATAATGTTAAAAATAAAAGAGGAAATAAACAAGCTCGGTTGTTAAGAAAAACAAGTGGGTTAGGAACAACTTAGAAAAGCCTTTTTTCCCCAGGTTATGAGCTATGATGAATATGCAACAGGTAAAGGAATATTGTCAGTTAACCAACTTGCTAAAAGTAAAAGAATAAAGCAAGCTTCTGAGCTGCTTGCAATTGAAGATCAAGCTACAAACACTGCAATCACAGTACAGGTTGCTGTGATCTGTGCCAGGCTGGATAATTGAGTTGGGGCATAGGTGAGTATCTCAAGTACTCTGAAACAAAGGAATTCTGATCAAGTAGATTGTCAAGAAAAATCTAATTAGGGTCACTCTTGTCCTGCTATTATGTACAGGGAATACAGTCTTGTTAAGACAAATGTAGTTTTGTAGTAGTTTAGTCATAACTTCTCAGCTTGATCCTTCTCCTTATAATTTTGGCCATCAGTCCAGTAATATTTAAAAAGATTAGGTTATATCATCAGTGAAGCAAATGAAGTCACTGATTCCTCATTTGATTATCTGGTCAATTTGCATTTGTTTGTTCCACTGCCTTGTTTTTGCCATTCCTCTTCTGCAGTTGTCCTCACTGCCCATTCTCTATTCCTTCCAAAGGTTATGTTGCAATGGGAGCTGTCCTGCCTTCCTTCTGGGGACAGCAACCACTTGTTCAACAACAACTGGCCATGGGTGCTCAGCCTCCAGTTGCTCAGGTGATGCAAGGAGGACAGTCAATTGCATGGGGACAACCTGGGATATTTCCTCCCACCCAACAACCATGGCCATCTGTAGCTGGTCAGTTTCAGCCTGCTGCCTTCATGCCAACACAAACTGTTTTGCCTTTACAAGCAGCCATGTTTCAAGGTACTATTGTTCCCACTGCTACTGTTCCACCTACAAGTGATTCCACTAGATCAAGTCCACAGACAGATAGCCCAAGGCAGCAAGCAGGAAAAGAAATGTTTAAAGATTTCCAGATGGCTCAGGCACCTCCAGTACCATCACGAAAACCAGATCAGCCTTCCCTCAGTTGTACCTCAGAGGCCTTCTCCAGTTACTTTAACAAAGTTGGAATGGCACAGGATGCAGATGATTGTGATGACTTTGATATCTCTCAGTTAAATCTGACTCCTGTGACTTCTACAACACCATCAACGAATTCACGTGAGTACCTCAGTATTTCTCCTCTAGCCTTCTTTCTCTTTTCTGAGTCATGTGTTTGAAGGTGGGAAAACATGAATTTAAGATAACTACATCAGATTTATGGAACTCTGTACGTACTGCTTTAATGAATTTCATTTTGAATAACAGTGTAATGCTACCTTAAATAGGCATAAGAACTAGAGCTAGATTTGTATTCACTATTGATTCAATACATTTTTCTTCCAATAGTAGCTATACTTGATGTAATGATAACTTGCTGGTTTTGAATTTGGAATCTCCAGCCTTACCTGATTATTCTGATAGCATTATTGCAAAAACATTTTATGTGAATCAATCCTTGTATGAAGAATTGCAGGTGAAAGAACTTTCCTTCATGTATAGCCTAGATATCCTAGATTGAACGGCTGGTTAAAAATATTTTTGATATATAAATAAATAATGTTGCTGGCTCATGACCATACTGTGCTGTGCGTACTTTGAATATCTGTTTTGCAACAGTTGCCTATCAAGATAGTCGAATACATTATTGATGATTTTAGGTTTGATTTCTTTCACAATATAGTTACAGAGGTATCTGAGATGGTGTCAGCAACAACAGCAGTAGTTTTTAAGGACTGTAGAAAACTGTAAATATTACAGTAATATATATTATTCTTTCTAAAGATGTTAGAATCAAAGTGGAAGTGCAGCATCCTAGTTTGCCCCCCCCCCCAATTATATCAGTCCTTTATCCATGGACTTGTCATGTGAAAGATGAACGATTTATAAGTTTTGCTGAAGACACAATAAAATTAAAGTAACATTTTAAATCCTGTTGTTTTAAAAATCTTGTTGTATTCTCCAAGTGAGTGGTCTCTAAGCACTTTATTAAGGAAAATCTTAACTTTTAATTAAGCCAGCTTGTCATAACTACATTGTCTTTCATCACACAATGTCACCAAGTTCACAAACCACCCCATTTTTTCCCACAACAATTCAAAAGGTTACTAAATGGCATTTAGAACTCACAGATCTAATTCTTGTTATTTGTGTATTTGTTTGATTGATTGATTTGTTAGCCCCAACTCCTGCTCCTAGACAGAGTTCTCCATCTAAATCTTCAGCATCTCATACGAGTGATGCTGCTGCAGATGACCTCTTTGAAGAGGGCTTTGAAAGTCCAAGCAAAAGTGAAGAACAAGAAGCAGTAAGTAACACAGCTCCCATTTATTAATATATTCATTCATTTATGTTGGCAGATTCATAGATTTGTGCCTTTAAAGTTTTAAGAGAAATATACACAAGTAGTTAAATTCAGACAAATCATTTAGTCCTCCCCTTCCTTTCCCTCTCCTTCCTACTGCCACTCAAAGTTCTTTCAGTATTCTCTTGGTTATTCACAACTAATATCACTTGTGGAGTATGGTGTAGCAGTCTTCTCACATCAGTTTTACAGCTTTCTTATCAGCCCTGATGTGTACTAATATGACAGAGTGGTATGCGCACCACAGAAGAGTTAATCCTGAAGGCTGTGCACAATAGCTTGACATTTACATCTACAAAAATGTCAGCTTATACAGTCTGTTGGGATGTTTCTACATATTGTATGTTTGTACTAAACTGGACTTTCGTGGTCCGTTAGTCTAAAACTACATTTTCTTGCTCCCTTTTAAAAGAGATAGGATTTAGGAAGAATAGGAAGAGTGTGATATGAAAGGATATAGAGTTCCTTTAAATTTATGGTTCCTAGCTGATAAAGACAAAAAGATATGGCGGGGGGAGGGGAGAAAAGGCATAGGCAACTTAAGAGCAGTGCAAAACAGGACCCTTCCACTTAAGAGTATGGCCACATTTTAAGTTGGGCTACCAGATCTGGCTTGCATCAATCTAGGTGACCATTGATTGGCAGCAAAAATCCCCTCTTTCCTGCCATCAAATGGTTGTCATTTTTTGCGTCTTCCTTTGTTCTACAATCCAGATCACCTGGTGGCTGTATCTATTAACTGGGTTAAACTTAAAATCCGCACCACTACCTAGACCTCATCAACTTTCCTTAAACAGAAAAGGAAGTAGGATTTGAATGCAAAATAAAGTATTCCAATTGCAGAGAGATGATTTTGGGTGACCTTCTCTGTATGGCCTCTTAATACCCTTTCTTCCTTGGACAAGGAAAGAGATTCATTGTTAGCCATACTTAATTTGCATTCAATAGGAATGTGTTAAAAATTGAAATGGTTTTAGATAGAGCCCAGGAGAAGGAAGTACATATAATTACAGACTATTTTAACATCATAAAATGGCACAAAGAAATTGGAAGATGATTTGAAAATAATATAAATATGTATTATATTTATATAAAATAATATAATAAATCACATTAACAAAATAACAGAGGTTAGTGGCTCTGTTCAAAAATGCATTGTTTTTATGTCCACAGATTAAATTCCCCCTAAAAGTTGTCTGCCCACTGATAGCAGTTGTTTTACTTAATAATATTTACAATGCTAGTGTTATCCACACATATATCAACTAAAGTATCACTTGGAAATTGGTTTTATATTCAGGATGGCAATTTCTAATTTTCTTTTAGAATGATCTTATCTTTAAATATTAAAAAAATGTTCCCACAGGCTTTCTGCATTTTTTAGAGTGATTTCCCTTTGGGAACTTTTGATCATGATTCTGTCATTCTCAAGGGCTGTCACAGGATTCCCCCACCCATTCCCAAAAGATATTGCACATTTTCCCAGCAATACTATCATGGGGACTAAATAATCCCATTAAATCAGGGTCATGGATATTCAGTCCGTTTTGGCCTTACCTCCACAGTGGGTAACTTTGACGAAATGCATTGATGGCATGAAAATAACCTCTGATGTTGTTTTCCTTTCTGCTGTTGAAAAAAAAAAGGTGTTATGTTCTTATATTCTAGCCTGATGGATCTCAGGCCTCATCCAACAGTGATCCATTTGGTGAACCTATTGGTGATACTGTAAGTCCACAGGGCGATAGCTAGATAGCGCAGGTTGGGGTAGGTATCTGTCCTTCTCTCTGTCTCTTTCACTCACTCACTTTCCAGCCATTCCCTTTCACTATTGCCTGCCTTCATTTACGTGGGTGCTGTATGTGCAGAATTTCATTTTTTTCACTTCACTACTTCTCACACCATAATTCCATTTGCAGGTGATGTCAAAATACTGGCTTTTGAAATTACAGTACAATAGTAAGGGAAACATGTATTAAAGTGAAACTGGAGATTGTTATCATTAACCCAGGAGGAAACCATGCATTTGTTATTTTCAGTCTCCAATTTCTGGTATTCATTATGAGTTATAAATGTTCTATACATTTATTAACTGTGATTGTTGGTTCAATGACATAATCCAAATTGAAATATGCCTTCTTATTTCCTAGCTATATCAATGATTTCTCCAAACTTCTTACCTCACAATTTGATTCAAAATTTATATTGATATATAGGTGGTTAAGTCATACAGCAGTCTTTCTGTCATTTCCAGCTACTGTTTAGGTATACATTTTCCATTACAAAATTTAAGATGACATGTTGCTCTAATCATTAATGGCTCACTTTGCATGTTGATAGTTGTTTTTTTTTTAATTGACTGTGGCTATTTTTATACTGGCATATGTGTTTGTCCAAATGATTGTGAAGCTGCAGTGCTTGTGAGTGCTGAACATTCCCATCCAATTTCGGTGTATTCTATTATTGCCATATGAAAAATATTTACTTCATACGTTGTACATTGTGATTTGAACAAGTTTGAACGTGGTGTGATTTATTACTCCTCTCTCTGTATAAAACATCTGAAGCAAATCAATAAAAATGAAGGATTTATTTTTAGTGCATAAAATGTAGTGATTTCCAGACATAAGAATGTGTATGTACTGGAGGGTGGGGGGTGGGTGTTGCTAATGTACTATGCCAGTCACAATATGTGAGTCCACCAGGCTTTCCTGACCCACAGGTCCTTGAACTTTAGCACTGAACCCCATATTTTTCTTTTATTAAATACTACAATTATTCTGGATGTGGGGGGGAGGGAAAGAGGGCGAGTAATGAAACAAGTGATGCAAATCAGCTTGTATTTCATTGTTCTGATAAAATTGATGAAAATGCAATCACATCTGAATCTTTTGTTATTCCATTTTTGTTGCTTTCCCCAGTCATTGCCAACCCTATCAACCAATCACTTTTTCTCTAGTTTAAGTAGTACAATGCCAGTGCCAACAATTGCTAGCTTTACAAGCCATAAATTTCCAAAGAGCTCAAGTATGTGATCTAATTTACTTTTCTCCATGATGGCATTAATGACTTTAAATTTGCCCACTACTGAACTATCTGAACTATTATCCTTTTTTTTCCCCCTAGCTAGCCATTGTAACTACATTAATTAAAAACCATGAGCAAAGCATTTGTTTGCTATCTTTAATTGTGGCCTCTGAATGTGGAAGAGGAATTGCTGATCTTTCCATTTTGAAATAATCAGTGAAAAAAACTATTTTGAAAGTTGTGTTTTGTCTTTTTTAATATTAAACCTCTGAATTTGGACGACATAAACATGCATTAATACTTTGCATTCTTGTGAGTGGATTTCCACTCACAGGATGCTCCTACTAGTGAAACTATGAAAGCAGTATGCTACCTTCGCCTTGCAGCCTCCTTCAGCTGATAAAGAGCTTGCTTGGAGGTGAATAAAGAGAGAGTGGTATGGGGAAAAACAAGGAGTATTAAGAAAGAAATACTTCCTCATATCTATTGGTTCCTTCTGTATAGGAAAGTAGACTTTATGTTCATGGAAGGGGCACTCTAGATCAAACTTTCAATATCCTAACTTTATAATAATTTAAATGCAAGAATGAACTCACATTCCCCATTTGGTTTTAGATTTGCTCCACATTGTTGTTTGTGATCTTGTTTTTATTCTATTTATACTTGATAATCCTTAATTTCATGTACTTTCAATGTTATTAGCATTTCTTTTTCTTTAGTATCTGAAAATGTTTGTTTGTTTGTTTGTTTGTTTGTTAAGTAATTGGGTGCTTTATCAGTTGCCAATTCCTAGATTGTTTTACTCTTATCTACTTACAATCCTAAACAGAAGCCTTCCAACTTGAATTCCACAGCTATCCTTTTAAAAAATAACAGATCTCTCATACGCAAATCTGGAATCTACTCATAAATCAAATCTTTCCCTTGGATTATTTTTCAAAGCAGAAGCTGGGAAAGTGGTTTGAATACATGCACTGAAATTACAAGAGCTGTTCTTGGACAGCATAATCAATTTCTAACTCAAATTGAGATAAGGTAGATTGTGGAACACTATACAACAATTGTATACTTTTATTATTTCTTAACATATTCTTGTTTCATCTAAAGTTTATCCTGCATATTTATAGCCATCATGAAAAATATGCAGTATTTTATTCCTTTGCTCATCAAGCCAAAGCAAGAGTTTTATAATATAGGAGATCTTCACATTTTGTATGTCAGATCCTATCAGGATTTTCAGCATAAGACCTGGACCCTAGCAGTAATTAGCACCCACAGTTAGAGTGTGTCCTTAATATTTTCTCATTAGCTACTGCTAAAATTGCCACTGGGCAGAGAAAGAAGATAAAATCGATGATACTATTAAACATCTTTAGACCTGGTTCTTCTTACTGAAAGAAGGCTTGTCACCTGCAGGATAGACCCTAGTCTTTTACTTTACTTGGACTTGTCTGTGATCCCATTAGAGGAGTTGTACTGACTAAACACAGTTAATCATAAAAGTAATACTGTTCCAAAGTTTCTAATTTCTCCAAAGCTTTCTTCCCTTCAGGAAAAAAAAAAAAAAAGCTTTAATTTCTTTTTAAACCTTCTAGTGTATTTTTTCCCTATCTTTGTCTCTGCAGCCTCCCTAACCTGCCCACTTCTGCATCTATAAAATTACTTAATTAATCACTACATAAAGCAAAATCCCTTTACCACCAAAATATAGCAAAAGACTGCCACACCTCTCAGTTCCCATTGCATCAAGCTCTTTAGGAAAATACTTAGCGTAAAAAGATAACTTTCTCTTTAAGACAGAGGTGCTATTCCCTTGAGCTTCCTTATCTCCTTTCTCTGTTGTGAACTATTTGGGCAGGTCTTTCCTCCTGACCCGGTGATCAGGAAATAGAAGACTTATTTTCTCAGCTTATTTTCAGTTCTTTGTTCAACCAGCCAGAAGGAGAACATTCTGCTAAATATCTGTATACACATGGACAAGCAGTTCTTTGGAGAACGGCAACTTTAAGTTCATAATATAAATCTTTTCTGCCATTCTTGTTACATTAGTAAGAAAAATCCATCTATTGTATAGTATACATCTCCTTTATCTTAATGAAGAGTACTAGTATAAGCATACCAGGTACATTACATCCATTAATCAATTTAAGTTGCTTAAATACAATTTCCTTAGAATAACAATACTGAATGCAACATGTTCACTAGTTTGAAAGCCAACCTGTATAAAATTTTGAATTATCATTTTGAGGCTGATACCTTAAGAAAAAAATTGAGAGGCAGAGGAAAATTTGAAAAATAAGAGATGTTTCTTACTTATGCCAGATAGACACGACAATGGACTATGTGATCATAATAGCAGAGTTTTATTAGGAAATTTGTTTCGTGCAAAAGCTATGAAGAATAATACATTTTGAACATAAAAATCAACTGATACTCTGGAATAATTTTTCCATGCTCAATTTTGTTTAATATTTTCCTTCAGTGTCTTATCTGAATCTGCATTCACTGTAAAACAGAGCTACTTGAACAAATTGGTTAGTATTAATATGATTTTAATTTTTTACAATTTATTAGCAATTCTTACTTTTGGAAAAGATGAAAACTTTAATTTTACTCTTTGGAACTTCCTAAATGTCAAACACAATTACATTGTCATTTCCTAAGTTTCTTAATATTGATTTTTTAATAACATTCTACAATATGCTGATTTAGTGGAAGGATCTTCTGTAATCACAATGTTATTTCCATCTATGTATTAACATTCTTTAGCAACATTCTGAACAATAATTTTTGATAGTTCCTACTTGCTTCTAAAGCTATATCCATCAATAACTGTTTGCATGGAGAAGAGTTAATTGGAACTTTTGGGGGGAGGGGGAGAAATAACAAAATCTTTGTTCCAGAGCAGGGGTTTTCAAACATATTCAGGCCATTGAACCTGTTAGTTAAAAAGAAGACTTCCTGGACCCCTCATCAAGCAACAAAACGTTAATGATAGAAAATTGGTTGTGTTTGAGTGAACATTTTTTTTCCTTTAGTCTATCATGGAGCACAATCAAGTTCTCCTGGAGCCCTCAGGTTCTGTGGAACACAGTCCGAAAATCTTGTTCTAGGGGATAAAATTGAGATTATCCCAGAAAAGAATAGAACAGCACTTAAAGAGACAAAATCCAATTTATTTTAGTACTTTAGTAAAGTGGTGATTTTTTTTTATCTGTAAGCAAAATCTATAAAAGAGATTACTACTCACTGTCTCGAACAAGTCTTATACTCTCTGTGCAGTGAAGCCAGATGTGGAATGTTAAGATTCACTGTTCCTCATTAGTTTGTAGATTCATAAAGATTGGATTTAATAAGTGTATCTTGTCCCTTATTAAAAGATGTGTGTGAAATGCAAAATGTGCTACCCTTGTACCTACTCATAGGATGTTTAGATTACAGCCCAGAAAGCAAAGTACAAGTCTACTCAAGATGGGAAATACTGTATTATCATCACTTGAGATCCTTAAAGAATAAGCAAACAGGATTTATGCAACTTTACACAGAAAAATAGGACGTGCATTGCATCAGGAAAAAAAATCCAAATGCCAGAGTATAATACCCTAAAAAAAATGTGAGTAAGCTCTCAAGTTCTCCCGAATCTTCACTCCTTGCATTAATAAATTACTAAAACCAGATGGGACCAAAAATGTAAGTACTGTATCTTAGAATAGCTTCCCACAACCTGGTACCTTCCAGATGAATTGGACTTTCTCAGAATTCCAAAGCTAGCATGGTTGCCAACAATTATGGAAGCCCAATTCAAATACATCTAGAAGCCTGCCTTAGAGTATGTTCTCTGCACTGCACTAAGATTTCCTAAGATGATGAGATACTGATATTAGTTTATTGTAACAATTTACCAAATTGTATACTGTTGCTTCATGTTCATTACATGTTTTCACACTGCTTGACATTTATATAATACTTGCCAACATTTGTAATGCATTTCATCTATCATAATTTTGAAACATCAAAGTTAAAATTACTGAAGTTTTGAACTTATATTATATTTTAGAATTTGAAGGAGGTATTTATTCTGTTGTTTTTAATTCTGGTTATTTTTTACTGGTTTTTTACTCTGTTTTAATTGTTAGTTTCCCAGAGTCATGTATATGAGATGGGCCACCTACACATTTATTAAATGAATAAATAAATACATATTTAGTGTGTCATCCTTGTTTTAGACATCATTCTGAACTCAACAGATCATGCTTCTATTATAAACCTGGGGAAAAAATGGGATGGAATAATTTTAAATCTAATACTACAATATATTAGCATGAAAGCACATAATGTAAAATGTTAAATATTATCTTGAGTCTAGGAAAACAATTTATTCCTGTACATTCAAATCACGTTTTTTCATAGCTAAAGGGTATAATTTCTTCTACATATGCTATTGAGTCTTTACAAATACAAATAGTCTAGAGTGATTGCTTTTTTTTCCCTTAAAATTTTCTTTTTGGATATTATCATAATTCAAAACTATAGGATTGTGTATGTGTGTATGTATGTGTGTTTATATACAACTTTAGCTGTGTCCTGTGGGTCTGCTGTTCACATTTAAATGACTAGAAATATCTCTATTCATTTTGTCTTTCTGTTGTTCCTAGGAAAGAGAACCACTCTATGCCCAGATCAACAGACCTAAGACCTAAGAAATAGCATTGACCCACACTCGTGGCACTTCAAGACTCAAATGAAAACTACAGTCTTGACAGGCCTTTGGCTCCTATTATTATTATTTAGTTATCCCAGCTAATCAAGGATAATCACATCACTGGATTAATTCAACAAACAAGATGTTTTGGCAACTCTTTGGCAGAGCATTGCTTTTCTTTTTCTTATTTTTTAAAATCCTTCTTTCCTAGGGGAAGAAAATGTCCATCTGCATTCCTGCAACTCTGAACTATCCAAACACCTTTTCTTCTTGTCACCTTTTGTTGTTTCTAGGACTCCATATAATGAAAGTAGGCAATCCAAATCTATTAGATGACAACTCATTGTTTTATAATACAGAAACACAGAGAAAGCAAAGACATCATGGTCACCAGTTATTAAGCTACAGCTGCACATTTGAAGATATGGTAACTTTTTTATTGCCATCACAAACTGATCCTTCTGTATTCGCACCCATTATGCCAGCCTATAACAGCATATATGAAAGAAAAGTATTCAAGAGTTTCATTTTTCCCCCATTACTTAAAAACTGGTGACAGACACTAGCAGCAGAATGCCTCCTGTGAAAATAATTCTTAACTTGAAGTCATGGAATCCCATTCCACCAATCATCGATTTTGATTGAATATGTTGCCAAATGGACCTTTTAATTTTCAGTACATCAAAGAGATGAAATGCTGCTTTTCTGTTTTGAATACTACTGCTATGAGTAGAGAAGGACATCAGATCTTTTGATGGAAAAACAAACTGTGTGTTATTTCCTAGGGAACTCTTGAAACAAAGACCAGTAAAGGATATTTTTTATTTCTTTGATATCTTGCTGCTGTAATGCTATGCAGACAAGTGTTTTTTTCTTCTCTGTGTGCCATTTTTGAAGAGAAAAAACTGTTTGCCAAATACTTCTACATCTGGATTTGATTGGGTTGAACTTTAATAACAGGATGGAGACGGCATGAATTTTGAAATAATGAACTTATTCTGCGGTCAAATTGTTCATCTTTATCACTTTTTGTACATCAGAAAAATTCAAATGGGATTTTTATTTTATAACTTGAAATTTAAAGAAAAAAATCTTGCTGTTAAAACTCTTTCAATGTTTAAGGGGAAATGGCTTTAAAGAGTCTGAATGAAAATTGCCAGGTTTTCTTTTGTTTTGTAAATATAAATGTTAGGAGATTTTTTTTTTTTTTCTCATAATGCCATCACACTGTAGGGAAGGTAGTAAATGATGGTATTTCAGAAGTGTGGAAATCCCCATTTTGTGGTCCTTGTATCATGTTTGCTTGATTTTGTTTTCACATGCTTATAGTTAGTGGGCTAAAGCTTAAGTGCATTTCCCAGCCATAATTTTGTTGCCTGAAACTAGCTAGGTTGATGGAGAACCCATAACCATATGATCTTGCTTTTATAACATAACTATTATTACATACTTTACATTTTTGGAGAAAAATCACATTTCATACCCATTTCCTAATTTAATAAAAGCTGTTTACACACCACAGAAGCAAGTTTTTTAAAATTGTTTTTTTTTTTATATATTTATGTAAGAAAAGTGCAGTGTTTGGTTTCTATTCTTCGCACATGATTTGCATAAAGAATCTATATATTTTTGCCCTACAGAGAATTGTTATACAGGTCAAATATGTTTTCCTGATGTTCCTATGCAGATTACAATATATTGAACTTTAGTGGTTTAGCACTAAAAAAGAAGAGTTAAATAATTCAAATGATGACTTGTTTCAAGGATTATGCAGATTTTGTTTTTAAAATCAAAATACCAATATGCTTGTGTTTTCTGTTTTGATTATATAGGCCTGGAGTTATATTTCATGCATTTGAACAAGAGTAGCTGAAAACTGGTGATTTGATGATATTGAAACTGAACTTGATATTTCCAGTTGGTTTTTTCGAAGTAGGTACTGACGCAAAATGTGTGTTAAACAGTTAATGAACTATAGGCTTTAATATCAATGCAGATCTAATGTACTTTTCCAGTCATTTCCTCTCTGTAGTCCTTTGGTGTGCAAACTTGTTTCAGTAAAAGACTCCATGTGGATGTTTCAGAACATATGAGTGGTGATGTGAGAGAGGAACAAAGGCAAACCTGCGTCCAGTTAAAGCAGAAAGTAGTTGTGCCCAAAATAAAAATTAACATATTTCTTATACCCCAGTCAATTTGTTTTTCTTCATTTCCCCTTTCCCCACCCTGTTGTTATCCAACCTGAAAATCAATTTAACTTTAACTTGCTTACCATACATCTATGAAAGGTGAAGCTTTCCCAGCCCAAAATATTCATCCATGTTGTAGTCATCGTCAGGATCTCTATGGCAAATTTGCATCAGAAGAAAAATGCAAAAAGCTATCTCTTTTGTAGCATGTAAATGTTAGGTTGGTTTGTTTTTGACCTAGCAAGAAGATGACATCATTTGAAAGGACATTTCTTTAACAAACA